CTGCTGTTTGGAAAACACAACTCGAACTTAGATTCTGCTTTGCACCAAATATGAAATAAAGGTCCGTTTAAGTTCACTGCAAATTTGACATAAAGCTTGGGACAATTGTTCAGCCAGAGAGACGGAGAGGTCCCATTGTGGCCATCCGTAAAATTGCGCAAATCGCAGCGTTTATCATTTTGTCTGGTATCATTTGTGATTTATAGTTCGGCACATTTCCAAACAGGTTATTTGTCATCTGGCATGGCAATAGCTGACACCGTTCCCGCGGTCCAATAGCTTGCGTGGGGATAGCGTGATTATGTGAAGTGACCTAAAAATGACCACGTCTGTGGTTTTAAGTTTAAAGCTGTCGCAAAGTCTTCAAAAGCTGGCTGACATGCATATATATATATATATATATATATATATATATATATATATATATTTAAGTGGATTTAGACCATGGATTAAAATACATTTGAAATCAAGTGAGTTCATTTATCAATTAAATTATGAATGAATCAATTGGATTTCTCAAAAATAAAAAGCTCAAAAGATTCAATATAATGCTAAACGCACTTCACAAACGATCGCCAAAACCAAGGATCGTGAGAGACATTTTTCAGTAAAGTCAAGTTGAGCATGCATAGCCTGCAATCGTGGCGCGATTTCTGCTTGCAGTATGGGGAGCTAATCATAAAGCTCGTAACAGACAGTTGGGACGGGCTCATGACTGAACTGCCATGGCTTGCTTATGGGAGAGAAGTAAGTTGTTTTGTCATGCGACGAATAACAGCAATAGTGCTGTACAGGTTAGAGCTCGTTGTCCTATCCAGAGCATATGGAATATTCTAACGAAACGGATGTCGCAAACAATTCTTGGAAATGGTGATGAAAATGTATCAGAAGCATATTTGAAGCGTATTCCAAAGAAAAAGGATTACCAGAAGCATTATGAAATCGTGTTAAATTAATATTTTCACCAACCAATCGTTGAACACTGTATGGGCTGGCACCAATCGATTGGTGATGACACACCTGGTGCCTTGGGTAGGTGGTGATGGCTTGACGCTGCGTGCAGACGCAGTCATCCATGGTAAGTGTCTAACACAAGGAAGCAGTCAACGGAGGAGGAGAAAGGGGGTCGTTCTCTACGCTTGAAGGGCTGTCCGGTGACTTTCCGAAGAGGACCGGGGGGGGGGGGGGGGGCTATATTTTTATGGTTCATGGACATCTGACATGAGGAACTAAGATTTAATAGTGATGGGTGAGCTTCATTTACGATGTTTCCAGAGGCGTCTAGCGCCTCTGGATCGGATGAGGGGTTCTTGCTGGTCGAGAATGAAGACTGCATGAAAAGTGGTGGACTAAATCCGATACGAAAAATAATTTATGATATCCTTAGTGGAACATTGGTGCCCCCTCAGGTACCGTGGTCACACTGACAACGTTTGGATTCCCTCGACGAGATGCTGACTTTATTTCCGACTTAACATACACATGAACATTTGCGATCTTATTTTGTTTCTCACTGTCTGTCCGTCAAGTTGAGCGTCACGAAGTCAATCCAGTTTTTCAACAAATGTGCCAAGCTGTTCATATAAGCTGGGTGAAGCCAGTGAAAGCCAGCGCACTGCGCTGCAAGGCTCAGACCAAATCAGCTGATTTGGTTGACGTAATCCAACATACTAGCATTTTATAGACTCGCTATGAACTTGGATGTCATCCTTTGAACTTGGACAGCAATGAAATTGTTCTTATTTTCCCCTCCTTGCAACGCATCTTCGTCCTGTCCATTTTGGGCCAAAAGCCTGGCGAAACTGACAGCACTGTAAACGTTGCTGGCATGTAGATGGTTAAACTGGTCCACGTCATCACTCCGCCGAATCGGCTTTAGAGCAGTGTAGACCAAAACGTTCCCATGCGACGTAACATCAGATGGAACCCGCCTTCATTCGACCCGTGTGGCGTCAAGTTCTGGCAAAGTTATTACAAAATGAAGAGGAGCCACCTGGCAGAAAGGATGTGCCATTCATCATCAGGGGGCGCCGCAGCTTGCTATGTATTCAGCTTTGAAACCATTTTGTGAAAGAAGATACCAAGGTACTGCGAGAATTGTTGTGCATTAAAGCATCGTTCATGCGATGCATGGTCAGACTGCACGAAAGGTCCATTTCATTACTAATGAATGTGCGTTGAGGCTGCATAATATCAATAAGATAGAACCGCCCTCGGCTCAGGTGACAGCATTTGCGTTTTTATGAAACATTGTTTCGCTTTCTTCAGGAATTATATGCAAAAGAAGGAGACCAAAGATGTGTTCGTTTCGATAGCTCGGTTGGTTAGAGTGTCTGCCTTGCTATCCACCCATTCGTGGCGTAGTGTGTTCGAGTCGCTTTAGGGTGCTCGTTATTTCCCCTTGATAGGCGCGGCCTGCGGCCGGCGGCGGTAGTGCTGCTAAAGGTCGCATGACGTTAGATGGTAGAACGGACCATGCCAAACATTGCGGCACGGACAACTTTCGCCTGCAAATTCTACCGTTGGCCTGGAATTGCGTAATCGGATGGCAGGGGCCAGGGCTTACACGACAAGCTTTGCTCAGCTTGAACTCTGGTTTCGTAGGTCCATTCATTAAGGAGGCTCGTATTACAAAAGCAGGTCTATGACCATGCCGAAAAGGGGCGGAGCGTAAAAAGCAAACCTTTTGAACTTCGCCGCACCTGGGATTGCCACCGCTCGTGTCAAAATTGAGGCTTGGATTCAGACATTTTCAGACGTGGTCTTGGCGCCCAATCTTTGTCCTTTTTTTCTGATTAAGAGCGTCACGAATATGTCCCCGAAGGATCAAGACCTTTGTCCCCGCGTTAAATTGAGTTAGGGTCCCATATATGCATATTGTTGTAAAAATATGGGTATCGCCGGGGAAATGGTCTGGGGCCAACACCCAGCATAGATACACATATTACTGGGAACACACCAATATGCCGAGTCAATCATCCTCGAAGAATTCTTACCCGCGTCTTCAAATAATCTCCTATTGTCATGCTCGTCGTCCACGCCAAGAGCTTGATGAAATTCCAGAGAGAACCCTTCTGAACGTCTTGAGGCTGGAGTGTGGCGTCGGAGCCGGTCGCCGAGCTGCTGTTTCGGCACTCCCGACCGGCCGGCGTGATGATATGCTGCCGCGACCCAGCGCTCGTCAGCCGAGCTATGGAAGTGCGCCCCCCGCCGGGTTTGGTGCCGTTCATTTGACACTGGTGACACCGTGTGGTCGCTGGCTGCCTCGCCGGTGTCAGATGCACGCGCTTCCTGCAAATCGATACTGCCGCCTGCCAGCTGCAGCCTGCCACGAGAAAAGCAGGTTATTGTGCTGGGACAGACGCGCCGCCGAACAATAGAGCGCGCCGCGCCCAGCGCCCGTCCCGCCATCCCAGTCCGAGCGAGAATGAACTGGGCATGTTTGTGCGCGCACCGCCGCTCTGGATGGTTGGTGCGCGTGTGTAGCATGGAGTGGAGCGTGCCTGTTTCTTAACAACAACAAAAAAACTTAACAAAAAAAAACAAAAACGAAAAACTCCAGCCCACCTACCAAAGCGTATGGACAGAGACTAACTGCGAAAGCGAAACATTAAATGTACTTGAAGACGCCTGGTGCATGTGCGCTTACTAGGGCCACCTCACCGGGATGAGTGCAGTGGTCCATCTCAGAGGCCATGACGCAATGAAAATGCGGCGATTGGCTAGGGACGACCCGAGGCCTGTTCGTTTGGTTCCTCGGCCCGGCTCGCCGACTGTCTGCCCCCCAGTGCAGCACAGATCCGCGGATTCCCGCCCTTCGTGGGGCGCGTAGCCGACAGGGAAGTGCGTCGCGGTGCTCTTGACGTAGGTAAGGCGCTTCTAACGTAGGTCCCGACCAGGCTCCCTGAGAAGAGAAAGAAAAATACTCCTGCCGCTAGATCTCTGACACGAACAACTCGTGAACGCCTTTGAAGTCGCGGGAATTTGGACGCGCTGTCAGCGTTCGTTGGAGAGGAACAAAGGCACACACCTCACCGGGAACTAACTCTTGGGGACATGTCGGCTCAGCAGCACGCAGGGCTCCGACTAGAGATGCAAGATTTCGATACCGTTGTACCGGCCGCCGGCGCTATACCAGAGCACGGGATGGCAGTGAAAGCCCCCCTCGCTCACGCAAACTGGAACATGGTCATCGGGAATGAATGCATTGACGCATGCGTCACCATCATGCATGAGAATATTTTGTGTTGTGCCCAAATGCGGCAATGTGCCGGCTTTAGGCCGGTACCCTCACATCCAGGCCGAAACTAGTGCGGGTAACGATGCCATGCTTTACCAACGCATCAATGGTGCATATCGCCTTGCACGTGATGAAGCACGTCACAACTCAGAGCGAGTTGGAAATACTTCAGCATCGACGACAAACACATGTCTTTTGGCCCACTAGGGCGGCATACATGGGCTTGGTTATTGATACATGCGACAGTGCTGTTCGTGCAGAAGGCTTTGGTGTCGCCGCTTTAACAGCATCACCGACGGCTGGCGATTCTGGCCAGCACATCAATATCGGTCCAGATGGCGGGGTAGGCCATTGCCTGACGGCCGGCGCGCTGGTGAAGCCGGAATTGGCCCACAGGGAAGCCCTTCGCAAGCGACCTCTCGGCGGGCGCACGGGGCCACGTAAGGCGGCGCGTCGGGAGTCGATGGGCCTGACTTGCGTGTGATCGCAGCGAGCCTGCCGCCCCCAGCGCAGGCGGGTGCTTCGCTGCGATAGGGGTCCGTTGGCCCCATTTGGACCGTCCAATGATGGCCGCGTTCACGTCGAAAATCGATGACGCCTGGGAACGTTGTTTAGAACTTTGGGCCCAGCTCAGTCGCTTACTGAGTTCCACAAACTCACTTTAAAGTGACCGAACCTATCGAAATCGTGGCGTAATGGCTGAGTAGTTCACGCTCTCGGCTTCCACGCAGGGCTCCAGTTCGAATCCTCATGAGCGCTAATGGGGCCTCTACAGTCACTGGAGTTCCATAAAAAGGTGTGGGTTACGCGTGTCCCGTTTCCTTAAAAATATCGCCATTTTCATGCTTAAATAATTTTCAGGTTAAATACATATACACTTGCCGTACTTTCCCCTTCCATTTGGTATCTTTCACTAACTGCCACTTCTCTTTGTGCTGCAATGATCTTGCATAGTTTTGATTTCAGCGGGGAGCCATGGACAAAGAATAGACTAGACTTGTGTTTTCTTGATGGTCGCATAGAAGTGCGTTATTCTGAATTCGCAAAACTTATAGATTGGCCTTTACGACCAGAGTCAATGCGCAGGCGTGACAATATTGCTCTAGTATGTGCCTTGCTGGGGTTGAATACTGGCCCTAAGCATAGTAGCTTTTCCCTCCGTACAGGACGAATAAAATCAAAAAGCTTTTACGGGACACCAAGCTCCATTCAACAATTGAGTCTGCAGATCAAATAAAAATGAGAGGTTGCGCCTCATACCACACGTATCTGCCGCGTCAATACCGTCCGCTCCCGCCATACATCAGCTGTCCTTCACCCTGACGGGCCCGGCCGATCTGACAGCAGCATCGCCGTCTTTTGATGCGCCGTTGTTGAGACACACGAGACGTGTTCAGCGAGGTACGTACGGTACGAGGAGGCATCCGGCGCGGGCCACAGAGCAGACAAGCCGCTCACAGGATCCTTGTGATGCACTTGTAAGTGTTGGCGAAACGTCATGCTACCATACGTTCCTTCAAGCATGGCTAGTTAAAAAGAACAAACAAACAAAACTGGTGATCACACATGGGTGATCAAAACAATTTGATGCGTCTGTAAAGACAGCACCGGGAAATCGCACAAGTTGGACATGTTCAGTAAATGGTGCTAGGTGCTAAGCTGTGCCCCGCCCTTCCCCTAGGGCCTTTTGCGATGCACGCGAGGTCAATGTGAGTTTTAATGTCACTGTGAGAGTCATGGAGGAAGCCTCACGATAACGGTTGGGTGTCGGATGGGTGAAATCCAGCGGCAGTGCGTACCTGTGCGGCATCTGGTATACGAACGCTTTGCGCTCTCTGTCGTACCTTGTTTTCGCAAGACAGGCGGTTTATTTTGTCTTGAGCAGTTGTGAACTGGGTATATTTTCACATCGCGTGCCGCCACACTACCTCTCGCCGTGTCAGTCCAGCCCGTTCGCACTCGCTGAGGCAGCGTTGTGTGCCGCCTCCAGACGTGTTATCACATGCAGAGTTCGAACTCCTCCTTTTGGCTGGTTCAGCCCAGCGCACGTTGTCCAACACTCCCCAAGCAAGTCTCCTTCTATCAGTCTATCGGGCATTGCCTCCCCGCCCTCACCGCAGGACACCCTCTACACGATCTCGTCAGAAGTGGTGACGGCCGAAATACCTGTAACAATACGTGACGGTGAGTCGTTCTCTTTGTCAGAAAACAGGTACACTGGCGGCACGTGTTCCCCCGCTGCTGATCGGCGAGAGCAGCACGCTTTCAGTGGGGCTGACTGTCTCCACCAGGACTCTTTCCTAATACAGACAGGACGCACAGGTTCCAGCAACCTCCACAGGCTTTCAGCGACTGCGGCTCCAGCGGCAACGGCACCTGGGCCACCCACGTGTACTGCGCACCACTGCCACCAAGCCATCGCGCTTGCCGCAGGCGCTGACGGCCGTCTGACCCCGTTGCAGGCGGTGACGGCCAGCACGAGCGCCGCTATCATCGCCGAGTCGCACGGCATCGTGACGGACCTATTGGTGGACAGCTCGGCCAGCGCGCTGCCGCCGCACATCCTGGCCGGCCTGCACACGCTGGCGCAGCTGCTCGAGCCGCCCAGCCAGCCGGGCCGGGTGCAGCAGCACCCGCCGGCGCTGCTGCGGCTCGACGACGCCCTCAGCTCCAGCACCGACGAAATACCCTTCACCGGCGAGACGGCCGGCAACCTGCAGGCCAGAGTACGTCACGGACGGGGAGCAGTAGCACGGGTCACGGTGTGGGGAAGGCAGTGCGGGGCCAGGTCACGAGGGGAGGATTGTGAGGAGAGGTGGAACGGACAGCTACAATTGGGGTTGGCTGGTGTGCTGCAGGATGGGGGATCCCAGATGACTGGTGGACCGCATATTTACATCTACGGTCTTGGCGTGAGTGCTGTTGCATGGACCTATATCTCTGGTGCATATCGATCCCGGCAATGTTATCATTCCCCTTCAGGTGGCCACATATGGGGACGGACATGTTCCAATATCCCAAGGCAATATTCATGGACGGTCCCCAACAGAGGCGGCTTCAGTGGGCCGTATGCGCGGGGACACAAGGGGCACACAGCTCAAAACCTTCACTGAAAATCCAGCTGAACGCGTTCCAGACGTGCAACATATCTTGCATGAGGTTAAGCAATGCTGCATGTTCTCGGTTTGTTTGGTGTTATGAGTTTATTCCAACCGTGGACATTTGTTCATGTGTGATGACATTCATTGAACATTTCTTCAAGTTTACGAACATTTCCTCTACACTTTACCAGGTTTTCAACACTCTACATTTATTCCCCTTAATGCATGCTATAAATCTGATAAGAGAGGGGGGGGAGGGGGGGGGGGGCACACGTGCCTCCAGAGGCTATCGCGTGAATACCCTGTGGTCCCTGTGGTGATTCGGGACAGCCGTGAATACTCTGCGGTCCCCGAGATGATTCGGGACGACCGGGAATACCCTGAGTCCCCGAGATGATTCGGGACGCCCGTGAATACCATGCGGTCCCCGAGATGATTCGGGACGCCCGTTGCGCCAAGAATTCATCGGCGGCCAGTGTGATGTATGGACTCGCGAAACGTGTCACTACTCCTCAAACAGCCGTCGATCGGCAGAGCAACGGGGATGAACAGAGATGAACGAGTAACGAATGATACTTCGAGGTGGGCAGCAGTTTGCATAATTTAGAACGCCTAAATCATGCAAAAGAACCTGCAGCAACCCCTTTGACGTCTGCTCACGTAGACATTTTATCACGAGTCGGGGCCGCGTGCGTAGCCACTGACTATAAACTGGGTACCTGCCTGCGTCATGCTTTTGGGGCATGCGTCATATTTTTCGACACCTACATTTTCCCCGCTACACCCAGTAGATCCTTTCCTATTCCATCACGCGTCTGGTCACGCTAGGCAGAGGAGAAGCGGGAGAAGAGGTTTGTTTGTGTGTTTGTTTGTTGTTTTTTATTAGAGCGCTTTCGACCAGAGATGATTAATTCAGGGCCATGGGATGAAGGAAAATGGTTAACGATGGGGCATATTTGCGTGCGCCCTGGGTCAACCAACGAGCTGTAACTCGCGCCTGCGCGCTGGGTACCCGGTTGGGGTCCGCCTTCGCACGGGGCTCTCGGCCCACTCGTGGCTGACATATGCAGCCTGCCCCGGACAAGCGGGGTGTCGCGAAAATGCAGGATGAAGCAGGATAAAGGATAAGAGGGGCGGATCTGAAGAAGAGAAGAGGGGAGCTTGGGTCTGTTATTTCGATGCGCGGCACGGGACTTCTGAGCATATATGCATATGATTAGCGGCGGGCTATCACTTGCAGCTTTCTCGCGCACCCGAATGTCTAAGATGATTTATGCGTCTGCAATTTTGGGGTGACCTTTGTATTTTAGGTATGACTTGCACTATAATGGGCACGCACTTTTGGATCTCAGTGTGAGCCACTCCGAGTATGCATTACACGTCACACCTCTTCTGATTGAGTCATCTGCTTTTGACTCGCGTCCGACGCGCTGAGAAACGTCCGTTACAAATAGACCATTAGGATGACATTGGAAATATCGGAATATGACATTGTCGTGACCTGCTACCAGACATGTGAATCTCTGGACTTTTCTCACGGGTTAAAGATATTCGACTGCATCTGGTCAGCAACAACTCGCATGTAATATTGGCCACACTTCATGACCTTCATACGACCTTGCCTTGCAGCAATATGCTCATCGCGACAGCACTGGCAGTGGCGGTAGGCAGCTAAAGTAACCAGCTGGAGTGGTTCCATGCACTCGGAGGAGATGGTGGTCTGATTCGGACTGGAACACCGCAAGTATCAAAGCCACTGGAGCGCCTCGCGCGTCGCACACGAAACTTTTGCAATTTCAGCTGCCCTCCTTTCGAATCGGGCGGGCAAGTTTGCGAGCGGACCCGCCGAGCGTCTCTGAAAAATGTTGGGGCAGTCTGCCGGCGGAGCGCGCTGTTCTGTCGGCGGACCACGGTACTCTGGCGGCGGAACGCGCTGTTCTGTCGGCGGAGTACGCTGTTCTGCCGGCGGAGCGCGCTGCTCTGTCGGCGGAGCGCGCTGCTCTGGCGGCGGAGCGCGGTGTTCTGTCGGCGGAGCGCGCTGCTCTGGCGGTGTAGCGCAGTGTTCCGTCGGCGGGACGCGCTGCTCTGTCGGCGGAGCGCGGTGTTCTGTCAGCGGGGCGCGGTGTTCTGTCGTCGTGTTGCGGCGCCCGGAGCCGGGCCCGCGCGGCGCGAGGTCCAGCGGGCAGAAGGCCAGGCTCTGACTTCGGCTGGACGGAAGGTGATTTACAACTGGAAGTTTGCTGATGCGTCATTTGGACAGCTTATGTTTGTGAAGTCAGAAGTAATTGATATCGAAGTAAATTATTTTCATCTCTAAAATCGAATCTTGCCGGCAAATGGGATACTTGACTGAGTTTCACATTTAGCGCGGAGTTTCACATTAGTTCATTAGGTCGCGATTAAACACATTCAGTTAAATATGCATTAATTCGGGATTATTCTAACAGCACTTCTGGCGAATTTATGTGAGGATGCTCAAAAAGCTTCCACTCATCATTTTCTAAATCATTACGACGGTGCCCAAGAAGCACCTGAACTTGGATGCACGTGTCACTGGAGATTCTGTGTACTGATTGCGTGGTGGTTAAGCACGCGTCTGGGAGACCAGATATGTAAGATTCTACTTCTCTCGGCACCCGCCCTTCCTGCCTGAGTGAGAGGCAGGCGACGCCTTATAACATCAACATCTGAGAGAGTCGTAAAGCCCCATTGACTAAGATGTTTACTGAATATTATGGCGAGGCACCAAAACTCCATGCAACTTGAAATGCTGTTCGTGAAAAAACATCACGACAGTACTTGAACGGAGAACCCCGTCAAAATGACGCCATGCACATTTAGTTTGACAGCACCTCCAATTTAGTACCATATGTATTACCTCAAATACTTGACAGAAACAGGTCTGATTCTGACTGGACCGGAAAGAAAGAAATAAGTTAGAATAAAGATAAGAATGATGCAAGAGAAAAAAGAAAGAAAATACATAGTGAATCAAAAGAGCTTACCGGAACGTTCGACATGTTTGAATCACATCATTTTTTTGTAGGCTAAATCCCCGTAACGTGATCGTCAGAAATGATCCACGCAAACTTTACTCATGGTGCCATTTCTCCCGTGTGCTTTTTTCCGTGTGCTTCTTCGTGAACATTCCGTGTGCTTACCTGATTATCCATAATCCATGATGGTCCATACAATATCCATAATCAGTAAAAATCCATACCATATCCATAATCCATACTCGTTCAGTTGCATTTGATAAATTTGCTGTTGTGGCCGAATCGTCCTTTAATTCGTCGCTTAGACACTGCGGCGGCTGTTCTAATGGCCGTTTTTTCTGGTCGGACGTGCGGACATGAAATTGGTGTGCTGGGGCTGAGCAGCAAGGGTTCAGGGTTTAGCTCGAACTCGTGCGCGACAAAACTGGACTCAGGCTTTGACTCAGGTAACGCAGGGACTCGGGACTCGGGCCTGGTCTCAAGATACCAGCACTCGTTTGGTACCCGGACTCAGGCTCAGACCTGATACTGCTTGGTCTGAGTTGCTTGCATTGCATACCATCATGCACCCAAACTATTCGAGTACGCTTTGGTAACACGTGACGGAAACATTATCGCTTCCATCTGCGCAAGTAGTCACCTTGGTCATTTGGTACTGAATGGCAGTGGTGAAGCATAATTAGATATAGCAATGATATAATTTTGTAATGCCAATGAGCAGTGTGAACCCCTTAATGTTACGTTTCACCGTTTCACGAGAACTCCTGTCTCATCCGACATTGGCCAAATGACATTCTGCACCTCGCCTAATTGCGTGTCATTACCGGCACCCAGATGGAGATCATTAAAATCGGGTGCACATAGGTCAATTGGTGCAACCTTTTGGGTGGGAAATGTTGCCATGATTTTTACTGGAAGGCTGCTCTCGCGGGAGAGCCGTTTGACATTCATAAGTTTTACAAGCTTTATATCGGCATGCAATAGTCGACTGGATTGCCATCACAACCCATGCTGTAAGCGCATCACTTCGCTTATGCAATCCACAAGCAGCTAACTGAGCGATGCAAATGTTCCCATCAAGAGATAACTCACCAGCATATGGGGGTGATCACGCATCTGGACATGCAAGCATCGCAGCTCGCACCGCGAGCTTAGAGTCAGCTGACACCCTTGCAAGGTGGCGAGCCGCCCTGGCGCCGCGGCCGACCGCCCTGACCCCGCACAGAGATGCCAAACCGATCTGGGAGGGATCAAAATACATTGCCGGGGGTGAGCGGAGAGCGTTTCCGGTTTTGAGCCCGGGATCCGACACAGATCGGCGAAATAATTCCGGAGTTCAGATGCCACCATCTAATTTGGCGTCGAGGGGCGGTAAGGTCAGACTCAGCGAAAGGTCAAGCCGGCCGCCGGAAGCGCCGCTGGCATATGACTCCCACCGGAGCCGATAGTTCCGGTCGGTCATCTCCGATGCTGTGCAGCCGCGCAAGTTTGTATCCAGGGCGACCAAACGCTAGGCTACGCCGCTGAACAGTCAGCAGACACGAACTCTCTGAAATGCCAAGGTCAACAAAAGCGTGTTTTGCTTTCACACCAGGTTGAAATTGGGTGATGGATTAGGGGCATGGATCAGGAACCGGGATCAATGGTTTCGACTCTCCCCAGTTCTTCCAAATATCTAAAATGGAACGCTTGGTTTTAGGCAAAGTAGTGTCGGTTACTGGCATCCGCATCTCGCTCGGTGAGAATTAGACTTGCGTATTTCTTATTCGTATATACGATTTGATCAGCCGCCTCGGCTAAACAGTCGTTTGTGTATACGCCTGCTGCGTTTGCATGGCTGATTTTTTGCGTCAACTATGTTGTTGGCGACGCTATATAAACATCAAGAATTGTTACATTTCACTGTCATCGAGGCCCGCGTGGGAACGCGTATCTTACGGGACTCAGTGCAATGCCCACATGGCTAAGCGATGCGAACCCAATGTTACAGGCCAAAGTGCAGATGGAAGATAGAGCTGTTCTCAGCTGTTCTACTGCAATCGAATGCGCATGAAAGCATTATCACAGATTGTTTAAACTAAGCAGTAAATATTACCCGGCCCGGACACCACAGTTCAAGAGCCCGAACATCACTGTCGGTGGCATGAACCACGAACATGCGTTTGCGAGAGTTGCCGAGGTAGGCAGTGAATTTGGTGTGCGTGCATCTTTTTTCCGGCAGTCCATGGCGCGTCCAAAATATGGCTAGTGTGGCCCGGGACTTCCCCTCGGGTCAGACAGAAACGAGTTCCCCGGGTCTCACAGCGCCTGCGGCGCACCGTGTTGTGCCCAACACGAGAGCACGCCCCCATACAGCCGGCACTGACCCCGGGGCGGAGCGGGCCAGGACTGACCCGGGTCGGAGCGGACTAGGACTGACCCGGCCAGGAGCGGGCTAGCACTGACCTGGCCCGGAGCGGGCTAGGACTGACCCGGCCCGGAGCGGGCTAGGACTGACCCGGGTCGGAGCGGGCTAGGACTGACCCGGGTCGGAGCGGACTAGGACTGGCTCGGGGGCGGAGCGGGCTAGGACTGACTCGAGGCGGAGCGGGCTAGAACTGACCCCGGGCCGGAGCGGGCTAAGACTGACCCGGGTCGGAGCGGACTAGGACTGACCTGGCCCGGAGCGGGCTAGGACTGACCCGGCCCGGAGCGGGCTAGGACTGACCCGGGCCGGAGCGGGCTAAGACTGACCCGGGCCGGAGCGGGCTAAGACTGACCCGGGTCGGAGCGGACTAGGACTGACCTGGCCCGGAGCGGGCTAGGACTGACCCGGCCCGGAGCGGGCTAGGACTGACCCGGGCCGGAGCGGGCTAGGACTGACCCGGGCCGGAGCGGGCTAAGACTGACCCGGGTCGGAGCGGGCTAGGACTGACCCAGGCCGGAGCGAACTAGGACTGACCCGGCCCGGAGCGGGCTGGGACTGACCCGGGCCGGAGCGGGCTAAGACTGACCCGGGTCGGAGCGGACTAGGACTGACCCAGGCCGGAGCGAACTAGGACTGACCTGGCCCGAAGCGGGCTAGGACTGACCCGGCCCGGAGCGGGCTAGCACTGACCCCGGCAGGAGCGGGCTAGCACTGACCTCGGCCGGAGCGGGCTAGCACTGACCTCGGCCGCAGCGAGTCGGTACTGACCCGGGCCGTCCCGTTTACAGAAGCGCGCTGTACACCCGGCCATGCTGCGCCGCATGTCCTGCTCCATGTGGTCGACCACCACCTCGGCCACCGGCATGCCCACCATCGAGCCGGAGCCGCCCAACCGACGTCGAGCCACCAGCTTCCGTAACACTGTCGGTAGGTCGCTAGGCCCGGCCGCACTGCTGGTACGTCACCAGCGTCTGGGCGGTGCTGACTGTGGAGTCGGTGACACCGTCGGTAGGCGGCCAGGCTCGGCCGCACCGCTGGTGCGTCACCAGCGTCTGGGCGGTGCTGACTGTGGAGTCGGTGGTTCTGCCGGTAGGTCTGCAGAGTTGGTGACGCTGTCAGTCGGTCACCAGTCAGCAGCTCTGTCGGCAAGTGACCAGAGTCAGTAGCGGAGTCGGTGAGTCACTGGTCAGAAGCCCAGTGGACAGGCCACCAGTCAGCAGCTCTGTCGGCAGGTGACCAGAGTCAGAAGCGGAGTCGGTAAGTCACTGGTCAGAAGCCCAGTGGACAGGCCACCAGTCAACAGCATTGTTAGCAGGTCACCGGGGTCATTAACGCGTTCTGAAGATCGTCAGAATAGGCAGCACTGTTAGTGGGTCACCAGAAACAACAACTCTGTAGATAGCTTTGTGAGCAGCTATTTTCAGCAACACGAGAGTGAGCAAGCTCTTTCTTAAGTCGCCAGAATCAGCGGCATTGCCTGTGGGTCACTAGAGTCAATAATTCGGTAGGCGTGTCGCTAGAATCAGCCGCTTCGTCGGTTGGTCACCAGAATCAGCAACACGGCTGGTGGATCACTAGAGCTGGCAGCATTGTCGGCAGGTCACCGTGGTCGGTAATGCCAATGGTAGGTTACCAGCTCCTGCAGCTCAGCTGGAAGGTGACCGGTCCTCCTGGTAGCTTACCAGCTCCTGCAGCTCGGCTGGAAGGTGACCGGTCCTCGTGGTAGGTCACCAGCTCCTGCAGCTCATCTGGAAGATGACCGGTCCTACTGATAGGTCACCAGCTCCTGCAGCTCGGCTGGAAGGTGATCGGTCCTCCCTCTCCCGTCGACCACCCACCAGGCTCCCCGCGGGCCACTTTGGTGCCTGACCATTTTCAGCCTGCTGACTTTTTGGAATACTCACTGGAATTCGTCACCGCTGGACAGGCCCCAGATCCAGAATGGGATGCTTCTTCGAACTCCAGACTAGCAGTTTCTCTGAAAAATGTCAGCCGTCCGTGACGGGTGGGCTGCAAAATTCTTGAGCACCTAAATACCAGACTGGTAGCTTTATATTGCTTTCGTTGGGCATTCATGACGCGGCTGATTTGGGCGGTGTCCAGCACTTATGCAGCATGTAGCATTGCGTCGCATTCGACGCAAATAACAGCGAATGAATTGAAGATCACCCGCGTCTTTTGTAACCTGATGCACTGAAGCTTTTCATGGCCGCAATCACTCTAGTCGGCGGCATTCCCCCCGGGATTAACGTCGCCCTTGATGTCACCACGGTCGGATGTCATGCTGAAGCAGCAGCGTTGGCGAGCTGGCCCAACTTTGTCTGTGTTCCACGAGCTGACTTCAGCCACGCCTACGCCGTCCCTCCGCGTGAGCCGGGGCTCATCAACTTTGCATGGCGCCCAATGTTCTGCTGAGGGCAACTGTCGACACGGAACATCGAGCACTCCAGGACGATCTAAGCGAGGCGCTGGCGCTCAGCTGGTCTGTCTAACTCCACGCCGTTCCGTTCTTAGCCGACATTGCCATTGACGACAGTGGGAAACATTCAAGGCTCTGCACTCAGGGGCATTGGGCCAACTTCTGAAATATACCATACATATTTCAGGATGGAACGTGCAAGTTTCAGACGCGTGGCCTTTGCTTTCAGGCTAATCGCGTCGATTAGGCCTGAATTTGAGCGCCGACTGTCTAGAGGCCGTTGTGCGATGGCGCATCGTGACACTCACCCGACATTATGTGTATGACTGCAGTGTGGTGACGTTTTAATCACACTATCTCATACTTTCTGCGCTTTGTTTTTTTTCATTCTGTCGCGCCTATGACGGAGATGAACGCTATGGACCACCTGTGTTTCCTCAGCCAACCCCCACCATTTCGACTTCCCGGCGTGGAATCGGCCCTGGGTAAACTCTTGAAGGAATATTGGGGCGTTGCGATGGTTTCATATTTCAGCCGTCAATAGTTAATTTATCAAAATTGACGTAATCGAGAAACCGTCATTGCCTCGTGGTACATTCACTTTCAGGGCATCAACTGAGGAAGCGTCTGATTACTGGTCGTCAATATGGGAGGCGGCTCAATTGGTGTGTCCGCTGGCCGTCGGGCCAAGGCCAAGTGAAACAAGGCCCATGTAAGCACGCGCAACGCTGTCCTCCGCTATTAGTTGCTACGCGGCAGATGCCTCTAAAAAATCAGGCTGGTCTGGCGCTGAAGTCAACTTACGTGAATAACCACCACACCAAATGTAATTGCAGACGCGTGGGTGTCAGTGCCAGTGCATCTGCAGTAGCATCCTCGAAAAAAGCAGGTTTTTCATGCACCAAAATCGATTTACGTACAAAACCGCGGGAAGAGGCAAAAGAGACAGCAAGACATAAAAGCACGTTGACAAACAGTCAGGGCGGAACAAGTACGAAGTCAGGACGGCGTCTCAGAGTGCTACCAACTCCGCCTCAAACCTGGACACATGTCTCGTGCTCCGTGTAGACAACGGCACCCCGCAAAACAGCCCCGCGGCTTCGTAAGATCGTGTGCTCCTGCTGGCGTCCGTCCTTCCTCCTTGCTCGCGGTGACAGGGGCCGTCCATTCCGGCGTGTTGTGTGGTCATAGTGATTGTGTTAGAGCATCTGTCAGCATCTGGAACATTGGAAACATCTGTCAAAGCGGGTATCTCACTGGTCCGGCTAAATCACATATGAAAGTATATTTGATGTTATTACGGGTGGGAAACTACTTGGCGGGAAAGAGTTGTGTGGTAATGTCTGTAGGCTAAGATACAAAAAAAGTTGAACCACCAACGGCAAAGTAATCCAACGCGCAAGGACGTGTTATTCCGCCGTCGCGCCTTTTGCAACCACTACAGACTATTTCGGATGCGTCAGCGCGCTCGTGGTTAATGACTACGCTCTGAACCAGCTTATGGTGTGCCATTAAAGCACCTATATGGTCGGCTCGCTGTCCATATCGCGATAGTCAGCGGAGCGAAGACCCAATGAATCATGGGCACAGGTCGGAGCAAGGCTTCGCGGCGAAGGTGGCAGAAATAGTCTCTCGTCTGACGTAGGATAATGACTCTCATATACCATTTCGGAAAGGCTCGCCCAGACTCGGATCCCCTAGCGACCACTGTCGGTGCTGATGGTGTGGACTGGAAGCAATGTGCGAGTGATTTGAGCGACGCCAGACCATGCGACATCATTTCCAGACACCGTTAACGCTCGAGCCGTTCGCTTCGCCGCCCTGCATCTCTGTCCATGGCTATAGCGAAGTCTCAGTGGGCACATAACGCCTTCACGCGCATGCCATGTTACACGGCATGGCATAAATTGCACATCTGATTCGAATCTGATTGTTTTTGGATAGCATTAAATTGTATTACAGCATCCCAACTATTACCATGTGTACTGAAAACGGGCTGACCCCAAGCAGCAATTTTTTCCTCTTTTCTTGATGACAAGTTCAGAGTACTCCTTGCCAGGCGATCTCGTCCCTAATTTCGTGCGCTTGCCAGTTCTATGTGTCTGCGTCTACAAATGATGTAACTTACGAGCAGCCGTCACCAGCCGACTTCCGCACAAAAATCGTCGAAATTGTCGAAATGAAATTGTCGAAAGAGTGGTGAATCGGTCAGCGAACCTGTCCTTCGCTGGTCATGCTCTGCGATCTCCTCGTGACTCGTTTCCCAGTTCATGCCCCGCGAGCCAGTGTGGCGCTGGTGGCGCAGCCTGCGACACAATTGCACGTTCTCATCGGCGCGATCTTGAGCTACCACGATATCTTACGTATGACAACTGGCAAGGCTACGCCAAGGCCTCGGAGAAGAGCACCGCGGGAAACACCGTGACCTGAAGCGTGGCGTCGAGCCCGGCCTTGTCTAGACGTGCTCAGGGTGTGGCGCGAGGTCACGGCGGCGACCTATCAGGACGGGCCGTGCCCCGCCGTCTCCGGTCATAAAGCAGGGCAGGCAATCAGGCTGGCAGCGGCCCGCAGAGACCGTCACAGCGCTCGACGCCGTGCCCACCCGACCCCCACCGGCTCGAGGGCACCGATAAATAACCAACAGGATCGCAGGCTGTCCTCCAGTTAGGCGCACTACAGCCTCTCTGGGTCTATAGTAATCCCGTGGTGAGCGGTGATTTGCTCCTGGGTGGGTATCTGGTTAGTAGTTGTGAACTTGAACCAATCCGACACCCAGCTGATATTTTTGCTGACAATGCGGGAAAGGGCCGCCACTTGCACCGGCGCGCAGAAGCGTGCGGTTTCTGTCGGTGTCCTATTTCCAGAGGTGACATTTATGACATTGTGGGCCGTGTCCACCGACTTAAAACCATATTGTGTTGAAATGAATATTCCACGTTTGAAGATATCAAAAGAAACATTATGTCTGACGAAATAAGCTGGCTTATAAATAACAGTATACATTAAAATGGAAAGGACTGCTCTAGCCAACCCGATTTTTCTGCTACGTAATAATACTCTTCAATATGTCATTGTTTAATTTCGTCATCATACCTTGCACAACATTGATTGTGAGGCTCTTGACGGCCGTTTTACCTCGAAATTGTATCCACGAACGCCAAATATAAACGAGTAGACAATGACATTTTTCTTGGGTTTGATCGCCGCACGTGAAATGGAACGGCTGGATTTGAATGACGTTATTATGGTGGCATGGGTGCCTGGTGACCTGGAAATACTCCCCCAAAATAGTCTGCATATCTTTGCAGGAATGTAGATCAGAGGCTAGACTGGTTGAGGTCTTAAAAAGGGCAGGGCTGTGAACTGCACCGAGTGATCTTCAAGAAGGCTATTTCAGTTGGAAACCTGTACAAAGGTGAGACACCAACAGTTGCAGAACGCTAGCCTGGAAAAGTCACATCGTCTGTGAACGTTCTGCCGAAATAAGGCAAAGAAATACATCAGCAGGCTGTGAAACCATACACCCCTGTGTTTCTGGGAGGCAAGAACCCGATGTGATGCAATGGGATGCTGATGGGCATGATGGGCTGGATGGAATATCATGCCCAGTCATCATTATTCTACATGACCCGATCCCAGGTACTCTCGCAGGCTGTGACGTCCATGCATG